TTGGGCTTTCATGGCATTTTTTGCGCGCACATTTTTTGCTGCACGTCTAAAATACGGGACGCATGCCTTCCGTCTGTCACAACATGATGGATTTGGTTTCTCGTTTCTCGATCTTGAGATATCCATATAACTTGATGGATCTTTTTATGCTGGAACCTAGTACTAAATATTTCCATGTTTCAGGCCTCGGTGAAGTCGATCAGCCTCAGTCGGTAGGCTGCAGTTTCCGAATGTGGTTCTAAAGATCTACCCATCCTCGCATTGAAATTTCCAAAACCAAGCACTCATAAACGATATCCTTGGAAGATTAGCCCTTCTTTTCCGTCGGGGCGTGGGCGCAAATGAACGAGATGTTGAAGAACCTCGTCCACCGGTGTGAGCGGCAGTGCGAAACGACGGAGTCTCTCTCGCTCCAAAAATCCAACAACTTTTGTCCTTACGAGCACATCAACCAGCTGGACAGAGGCAGCTGTGTCCGTGCATTCCAGGTTCATGCTTTTCAATGTTTGCCGTGTTCGTCATCCGAGGCTCTGTTCTTACATTCCGATGCTTTGTTCTTACATTACAATGGAAACAATGGAAGGGTTTTTACGTGGCGGATCCTGAATTCATCGCACATGCTATTGCTGGAAGGGGGTGGTTTCTCAAGCGATTATACGTTTATATAGAGAACCGCCTACCTCAAGACAAACGTCCGCTTGCAACTACATTCACTGGTGAACAGACGCTGCAGACTTCAGTGAGCCCTTAAACCGAATGGCCCCACCGAAGCTCCATCTCTATCTGTAGTTGCGCAATGCTCCACTCGAATTGGTTACCGTATCTCGCACATGGATTACTCACGATGGTCAGAATGCGCGACCAAGGCCACACGTATCGGTATCGGATATAGCCATGCAGCTGTAACTGCAAACCCAGAACAAGGGCTATATTCCATGTAAGACACATAAAAATCTTAAATTTCAGCTACCACTACAACTATGTACTTTCGCTTTAAACATTTTCCAACTATCGATTTTCACATTTTTATCCCTCAACCACATTTTTTGTGACAGCTTCTTGTTCATTAATTTAAATGTAAATCTCTAACCTTGACTTTCAACAGCAAGCGCATGTTTTTTATGTCCACAAATGTGCTCCCTTCTATTGTAGGTTAGCTAAAACTTTTCCACTGCTCACAGCACATTTTTACCCCAGTTTTTCTAGCAATTTCTCACTTTGAAGACCTTCACAATTTCATTATCAAGGACGCAATCAAAAGCGGGAGCAAAATGTTAGCATGCAACAAAAAAACACAAATCCTTTATGTACGCGTATAGCAATTTAATCACTAACTAACCTTGAGAGCTAATCGACACTGCTAAAGCACACCCAGTGCTAAGAAGAAATGTCTCTCCCCGCCGCTCTACTCTTCTCAGATCTCCACCCACATATCCATAAGCTGGCTTGCCAACAGCTCCATTATTCTGCTCGACAAGCATATCGCTTTGCTTTCGCAGAAGGGAGCGACATTTTGACACTAAGAGCTTGCAATTGCATTCCATTACATTTCCGCTTCCGCCAACTGTCACACTTGTAATCGCAGTTGGTGCTGTATTAAGTAAGTATGTATTAGCGACCTTGTAGTATGGCGAGCACTTGGCAACAAGCAATGGAATTTTCTGCAAGCTTGCAACAAGCAATGTGTTTGAAATCTGGTTGTAGGGAAGAAAAGAAAAATAGCTATGTTGCAACAATTGGACAGCGTGAGCTGCATGCTTTTTAGATACGCGTGGCGTTAGGAGTGTGAAGTCATTAAAAGGGAACTAATGTAACACTCTTTGCTGATTTTCAAGGTCGCTTTAGCGGGTGCAGCTGCGATAGTCTCATGTGTGCTTTTGAAGTGTGTAGATATTTGTTTTTCAAGGTTACCAATACTCGTGATATCATAGCCATGAGCCTTCGCAAGTAAATTTCCAGCCACGTTGTAAAGTTTTCGTTCAAGTTGAAGGCGAACGACGATGCCGGCAAGAAGTAGCCGGTAGTAAGTAGCGTGATAATAAGTACATGTTTAAATTTAAGTTGGAAAAATCGCATGAAAGAGGCTGTAAAATAACGAAACTAAATACCAAAGAAGTAAGATTGGCAAAGTTACCAAAGAAGTAGGATAAGTAAGATTGCCAAAATAGGCAAAGTTTACCCACAACTCGCCTGAAAGTAATAGGAACCAAATATATCCCTTCACGAGGGCTTAAATACCGTAAACATGAAGAGACTCAGCAGAAATCTTAGAGGTCCCCCCCAGATTTGCACCTTTCATTCTATCTATTTTTAACCCTGGAGATAATTTTGGAATCCCAAATTAGACTGTCCAGATCTATTAATTACTACTACTACTACTACTACTACTACCTAGCAGCATTCCTCGACATAGCAGAGTCTTTTAAAAACATATACCCGAGCGCACATTATCTCAGACATGACAGACCCAGGTTGAATTCATACGCCAACTATTCGCCCGCAGTATGGTGAGTTCAGAACTAAGTAGAGGTCTTGTGGCAGATCGACCACTCAAACTGAAGTGTATAGATACTACCAGAGCGGCGTGTTAAATGGTATTATCCTCAAAAAGAACCGGGACAAGCATCGCTAGGCAGCGATTAAGGCACTTGGCCCTTTAAGTACGCAAATTATGCGTTACAGCTTTGGCTGATAGGCATATCGTTGCACTGATCCATGTTTCATCCATCAGTTCTTATAAAGTTTCCATAAAATTTTAAAATTTTTAGTAGAAAATATTGATTTCCAAAAAAGACATACTAATAGATATTCTTGAAAATTTTTTCTAAAAACTGTCATTCCGTAACTTTTACACCAAGTCCGATAATGTGATGCATTTTTTTCGGATTTGATTTTTAAAATTCCATGTTCCATGCATCAGTTTAAAAAGTAAGTAATTAAATCGGAAATAAAAACCCCAAACGGTGTCTGATTTGGCGTTGAATCCCCCACCTAGTAATATTTACCACTAAGTCGAGTTTCTTCATCGCCATGTACATAATTCTTCTAAATTGCCAAGTGTTTTTTAGCACCCCGCCGGGACCTAAATAGGTTCCATGAAGGACTGACGCCTATCAATTCACTGCTATTATCTCATTGAGTAAGAGTGAAAAAACAAAGAAAAAATTATACAAATATTGATTCCGCCGGAGCATTACAGGAAGCTTCAAATTTTGTTAGTATTAAACTTGTAATAACTGAGCACTGGTTAGCGCTCATCTCAAGTCATCTTACATATGAATAAGCATTACAATCCGTGCATACCATTTTACCTGCCGAAGCTATCCCCCTCATTCCCTAGCATGCTTTCGAATTTCGAAACACCCTTCGGTTACAAAGAAGAATTTTTTTTTTTGGTATGCAGTATTCTGGCGTCTCTATTTTCGTTGAATTGAGAAAAGGGGAATAATTCGAAATTCGAACTTCGAAACCTAAGCCAAAACCAAAGCAAGACTCGCACAAGCACAGCTAGTGAAAAAGCAAGTGGGGTAGGTTTTCGCCTGCCAAATATTGAGCAACTCGAGGCAGAGCGCTTCAACGCTGAAAAGTGGGCACGCTCTCACTATTCACTTACTTGCAGCGCGCTCTCTAGCTAATACAATATGCTTTCACTATGAGAATCGAGCGTAGAGGTGCTAAAGCGCGTTTTCAGGTTTCCTGCCAAAGGAGTACTACTTCGTGGTTGAGGTGGTGGTTTAGTTGTAGTGCATTACAGTGATATTAGCATGCATTAGTGTGCTTACGTGTGTGTGTGTGTCTTCGTGTGGTTTGGTGGTTTATGGTGTTTGCACCACCTCTTTTCCACACAATTGCCGTATGAGGGTGACTTTTGTATGCTCTGCGCTCGGACTTAAATGACTGCCTCACTGACTGACTAACTGGCTGGCTGGTTGGTTACTGTTCGCGCTTGCTTGCCTTCCTGCTGCTGTTAGCTTACACTACGCTTCTTTCGATGCATGCATTTGGTATTGTATTGTGCTGCGTTCTGTTGTGACTGCTGACTGCTGGCTGCTGCCTTGGCATGCCGTGAATGACAACTTTTATAAAAGTCACTGCTGCAAGGATAATGCAGTCAGTCTATGCAAAGCTATTGCGACGTTAGCACACAACCTTGTGCCGCGGCAGGAACTAAAATTCGTCTAGCGGTACTCAAAGCGAAAACAAAAATTCACTTGAACTTGCGTAAGTAAAGTCACGTGACTGTGAAAAATTTCTAAGTGTTTTGGCGCGAAAATATTGAAGGCGTTGAAAATTGGGAATTTTTGAAGAAAATAATTTTAAAAGAAAAAGACTGGATGGCAATTGTGCCTGGCGAATTTAAATGAAAAAATAAGAATTTTTGGAAAACTTTTATACAAATTTTAAAAACATTGAACTCCAAAAATATTGAAATATTTTATAATGCAAATTTGTGACATTGTGTGGAAGATGCATAAATAAATATTTTTGAGCGCCTTAGTAAAAGTATGTATCTTCACAAAAAGAGGAGAAACTAAAGACTTATAAATAATAAAAAAAATTATTACAAAAAGAAACTGAGTTAAAAAAATATGAAAAATTTGGGAACTTTAGTGAAATAAAATATATAAAAAAACTTGGAAAACAACAAAACAAACACAACGTATAAATGTATGTATATCGGCTTAAAAAACTTTAAAATATTATAAAAAACAGATATATTCAAATCGGCGAATATGATTTCTGAATAAAAAATACATTTGGGAAAAATATATGTATGAGGTTTTCACTCACACTTACAAGAAACTTTAGAAAACAAGTGTAAAAATTTTGAACTTAAATATTTTTTTTACAAAAAATTCTAATGCTGCAAAAAATTTAACTGCTGAGCGCGTGGATGTGCAAAATATAAATAAATACACTATATAAAATTCCGTCTTTTGGAGCCAAAATAAAAATCCATAAAGATAAACAAAATTAAAATATAATTAAATAAAGTGAAAACAGAAATCCCTTCAACTGAAACATGGCCATAGCTTACTTCATACCCGATCAAACCAAGCTGCTAGCGGCCAGCAGCGCTCATAGCAACCACAACAACGGGAGCAGCGGAGCCGTTGGGGGCGGTGGCGGCGGCGGCGGCGTCGGAAGCGTTGGTGGCAACACTAACACGAGCGCATCACCGACGGCTCAACAACATCCGCAAGCAGCGCACAATGCAAGCAGTGGGCACAACACCAGTCATCACCTTCATAACAGCAGCAACAACAATAATAACTTTCGCGCCAACATAACCATACCGTTGAGTGCCTATAGCGCCACAGCCGCCAATTCGGACGCTGGTTGTTGGGAGCTGTTGACGCAAATATTCTGCCATGCATTGCGCTTTTGCCATCAATCCGAGCGCCATCCGGCGGTAATACAAATATCATTAGAAATAAGCAGCACCGGATCGCTGGGAGCCACCACAGTGCAAGTGGGTGCGCAAGCGGCGCCTGTGCAACAGCAGCAGCAACAAGAGACGCAAGTGCAGCAGCAGCAACAGCCATCTCAAGCTGCGTCAACGGCGGTGCCACAAAATGCGTCCACACAAACGCTGCAACAAAATGCGACTGCCGCAGGTGTGGAACGGCCGGCGGTTAGTGAAGAGACACCCGCGGCGGCGGCAGCGGTGTTTAGTAGAAATCTGGAACCTGGCACGCACAAGCCGCCGGCGAAAGGAAATTAAGGCGAGTGAGTGACTATTCTGAATATTTTCGGCATAGCCTTGCTAGTTACGTACAGCAACAACGCATCGAAGCTCCTCCGCTGAGTTGAAAGGGAGGTAAAAAAAATCTCTTGTAAAAGACCATCATTAAGCTCAATCAAAGCGCATTGTGATTCCATGGAAAGTGACGCATACTTTACATACTCATATACATTTTAAGTTATTTGCAGTAATTTTTGGTAAGAAAAGTTATGCTATACAAAAATTATAATTTCTAAAAAAATTGCTCTCTCTCAAAAAATATTTGCTATAAAAAGTTGCAACTACTCTAGTAGAATCAAATTTTTGTGACATACATGCATTTTTTCTTTCTTTTTTTTAAATCATGCCAGTTTTTATTGTAAAGTAAAGCCGGTTGCTTTTTAATGAAGACCAGTTTTTGAAAATGTATTTTCGACATTTTTTAATACCTAATATTAAAACTTTTAAAATACTAAACTAATATTAATTAAATGATAAGCAAATTGTGAGTAACTCGAAGTAACTAAAATAGCGAGGGAGCATTTGAAAATGTTTGCTTTAGAAGGATTTTTATTGAAAAGAAAAAACAAAAAATATTTTTGAACAAAAAAAACGAAATGAGCGAAAGCAACAGTGTAACGGTTTCGGGTTGTAAAGGTCAGTTAAATATGATGCCAGCAAGTAACAGAAGTTCAAATATTTTTATCCTTTTTTACTAATCTTTAGTTTCAGTACAGATTATTAGGTTAATAAAAAACTGTTTGTAATACTATGCTAAAAATAAAACTATGTATTTACTGTGTGTATATGTATAAATTTGTGCAAGTTTTTTTTACTGAAAATGTTTTTGAAATATCCTTGCAATTTGTAGAAATTTTGTGTGTGAAGTTTGGACTCCCTAATACGAGTTTTTTTGTTTTTTTTTTTTTGCACACAAAACCAATTTTTTTTTTGTCTGCAATTTTTACTAGAAATTCTAGGAAGTAAACCCTATCCCTAAAAAACTAGAACTTCTCAAAAATTGTTTAACTTTCATTTATGTGAGATTTCTCATTTCCAAATAACTAAAAGGAAAATCTCAATTAAATTTTTTCCCTTAAAAACAGTTCAGGAATCCCGTTATTTGCGTTAAGTTGGAATCTGTTGAATGGATATTTTAATGCTAATAATTTCCAAAAATATTTAGAAATTAAAAAAATTAGAGCATTAAAAACAATAAACATTTCTCAAATATTTGTTTTGGTGATGGTTTTTGTTACGTAAAAAAAAGGAATTTTGATGGGCGCACAATTTTTTCCAATGTTCGTCGAAATGCAAGTATTGGCGTAGCATTCTCAAAATTTGACAGTAGTCTACTAACAAACAGTAGGCACTGTACAGTTGATTCAAAAACCATTGATTTATTAAACAGCCCTCGTATTTTCAAATGTTTTGTATGTAATTAAAACAATAAAAATATTTTTCGACAAAAACCCGCGGAAAACTTCAGCTACCTACTATTTAAAAAATATAATTTAATTATATTTTTTTTATGTTGGTTATAATCCGGAAAGTTTACTCTTCCATTCTAAAAATTTCGATAGTTTTTCCTTTTTCTATTTTTTATACTTTTTTCTAAAACTGATTAACTGACATTTTCGCACTTTTTGCAAATATCAATATTTTCTTTAGTTTTTTTGCACTACCTATGTGAGAATTATTTTGAGCTAATGTCTTTGCTTTCAGTTATTGTAAAATAAAACTAAAGAAAAATTTAAGTATTAAAAAAAATAATTTATTTCTTAGTTAAAAAAAAA